CAACTACTCTCAACTATCAATGCTCACTATGGTGCAGGAATCCTGCTAATCTCCATATATGCAAAGTCTCAGGTAATCTTCACAATAGGCTCTTAAAGCAAGTGCTAGTATTAACCCATTTTAGTGATGAAGCCAAGACACAGAGAGGAAAGGTACAGGTTTGTCTAGGTTCTCAATGCCAATCATGGCAGAGTTGGAATCAGAACCCAGGGAAGGCTGCCTGCAGAGCCTTTGTGCTGGGGGAATAGTGCCTGGAATCTCTGGGCCATATGTAAAGAGCAGCAGAAACTTAAACACGGAATGAATATGCATTTGATAGAAAGTTTCTGGGAGTAATATTGAATAAGTACATGTACTTTTTTTTGCATTTTTCAAGTCATACATTTCATTTATCATTTATATTTAAATTGGTGAATATAATCTTGAATTTAAAATTTACATTAAAGAGTTAACCTAAAAAAAAGACTCCATTCCCATTGGAATTCTACCCTAATGAAACCTTAATCTTGTGGTACATTAAGCAAGATCTTTGCTCAGCTCACTGAACTTCTGCTATGCTCAGAAATGTGCCTCTGTCTTTGCTGACTTAAGCATTGTTTTGTTTCTGATGTGTCCTGAACAGTTCAAAGTCCATCCTAAAAGGCAAAGGCTTTGCAGTCTTCATCAGTGCAAGCCTAGCAAGAATCTCCATGCACTCTACTTCAGCATCAAATGAAAATAGCGTTTCCACTTCATGGAAGCAGTTTCTAAAATAGCTTTCTCTAACTGCTTATAGAATAACGGTGCAAACATATATAGACACCTGCTTTCTATTTTTAATGCTCACCTCATTTCTTCTTCCTTCATGCAACTACTTTTTCTACTTTTTCAAATTAAATTGCAGCCAGGTCTAATGTCATGACCTCTGCAAATCCCCCAGTCAATCAGGGGTAGAAATCCAATTCAAAAAAGCTTCAAATTTAAAAGAAAGAAAGAAGGAGAGGGAGGAGGAAGGTAGGAAGGAAGGAAGGAAAAGAAAGAAAGAAAAAAAGAAGAGAGAGTGGGGCTAGGGCAGATTTCGTGGGCCCCATAACTGCAGGCCTGGGAAGTAGATTTAGCCTTAGAGTGGCTGAGCCAAAGGGTTCAGGTGACGTCATCTGAACTGTCACACCCTTTCAGCTCAATTTCACTTTTGCAGACTGGCAAAAGGAGAAATTTTGGCAGCTGCTAATTCACATTCTCTTAGTTTAGCAATCCCAATATTTGTTCTTGTGTGTCAGAGGGGGAAGGAAGGGGTGAGGGCTCTTTCCCAGTGTCGACATATAAATGCAAGACAGGCTTCTATCAGACTCAGTTTGGGTCATGTAGTCATGACTGTGGCAGGCACAAGAAAATAAAGTCCTGTGATTGACAGCTGAAGCTGATCAAATGAAATGAGGGAAGATAGGCGTTCCCCAGAAGAAATAGGGAGACTGTAAAGGGAAAAATCACACCAAAGAATATTTAAAATAATAGCAATAACCCCCAATTCTTTACCTGTACAATATTGCCTGGCAATTCTTCTCATCAAGAAATAAAGTCTATCTCTCCTTTAAATATGGACTGGTCTTGGGATTTGCCTTAACCAACAGGCTGCAGCACAAGTGAAGGTATTGCCAGTCCAAAGCCTCGAAAGACCTTAAGCACATCTTCTGTCTCCCTTTTCTGGCTTTGCCATGTGAACAAGCCCAGGCCAATCTGCTAGAGGAATGAGACAAGTGGAGCAGAGCCAACCCAGCCCAGCTATTCTATCTAAGGGCACAGCCAAGACCAGCACAGCCACTCAAAGCCAGCAGCCATCCATGAATGCAGGAGTAAGTGTTGCTGTGTTCCAGAGTCCAGTTCTGATGAGCCAATGGCCCACCCTACCTATAGACAGGAACAAAGTAAACCCTTATTGTTGTATACTCTGAGGCTTTGTGTTTGTAATATAACAACAGATAACCAATACATTCATATCTACTATATTACACCTGCAATTGCAGATGGCCAACTGGATCTACCCCTTTCCTATTCTACAAAGAATTTAGTTGCCTAACCCACATGATACTGCTGCAAGTTTTATATTGAATTGTTACCATTTATTTTAAGTGGTGATTAGTCTCTTGGCCTATAAGCACCTCAAAAGGAAGAACTCTAAACCTTTTGATCCCAGCACAGAAGCTAAACATTTCTAGGAATTCTGAGGTTGACTATTATCATCCCAAATATCCATGAAATACTGTTTGAATTTGGGGAGTTTTGTTTTTCCCATTTAGATTATTCATTCATCTGGAGTTGAGTCCTGTGTATGGGATAAGATTGGGGACTCAATTGTCCCAGTATTGTTATAAATATCTCACTTTTCTTCCCTGGTCTGTGACACCAACTCAGATCAGATTTCTTCTGCACCTACAGGGGTCCATAACCTGAAACTATCCAGCTGCACGACCGCTTATTTACCATCATTTTATATAAATTTTTCATATGTAGGAAAGTCATGACACCTTGCTCTTTCCTTCAAAATTGTTGTGGCTATTTCAGCCTCTTAATTTCCCATATACTTTTACAGTCAGCTTTTGAAGTTATACACACACACATACACACTAGTGATTTCCGAATCCTGTTTTAAATTACACTATACTTACAGTTTATTTGGGAAAAAATTGTTTAGTTAAACTCTGAATCTTTTCGGGCCAGGGATTTAGTTCAGTGGTTCTGGCGCCTGCCTCACAAGCGCAAGGGCCTGAGTTCAATCCCCAAAAAAAGGAATCATTTCCATTAACATGATAAAATTCACCATTTCTTAGATTTCTTGTGCCTAAAATATATGTCCAGGACCCAATATATCTCACCAGCTGCACTGTTATCAACACGGTGCAAGACACCGACACTCTGCCACTTAACCAGCATGACCTCCATAAACGACTTCCTCTTTCTGTGCTTGGCCTCCTCTGCGGCCTAGTCTCCTTATAGCAGTCAGGGTGACGCAAAGCAGGTCGTTTATACCACCTAAAATCTCTTTGTAGTGGCGGTGGTGCCAAAGACGATCCTTTGGGAAACAGCCTAAATGAATAAAGGAGTGAGTGGATGTCAATGGAAGGCCCCGGGAATGAAGACATCATTAAGAGTCTTCCCATAAGGAAGCCAAAATGGAAAGCAGAGCCCTCCACCCTCAGGAGGATGAACTTGGGGTTCATTACGGAGCCAGAGCCAGGCAAGCAGCCAGAAGCAAACGGCGGGTGCAAGCGGTCTG